AATGTAGCAAACAATTACAAGGCGTTTGGTTGGAGGGATTTTAAATTCCCTTCCCACTTAATTCCCACCTAATCCAAAGGCCATTAAATTTCGTAGTTTGGTTGGAGGGAATTGCAATTCCATGGAATTGCAATTCCCCCATTTTCATGAAATTAAAATCCCATGTCCCCCCCTGAGATTTTAATTCCTGAGAAAAAAAGATAATGATGAGTCAAAATTACCCCTTCCTTTTTTAACCTAAAATTAATGTCTAACAACAATAATGGACATTTTTGACTTTATACTACTTATTCTCTTTCAATTCTCATGTATACCAAACATTGGAATTGAAATTCCCAGTAATTCTATTCCTGATAATTTCCCCCAAACGCCCTGTTACGGAAAAAGAGATCGGAGTAGAATATTTACATTTGAATTATATACTTTATAAGTATAATGACAATTTGATACAATTTGATTAAGATCCGTGATTTTTTTTGAATACTTTCTCTACCTAATGAAGCACACAGAGTCAATAACGTTTTTTTGAATACTTTCTCTACCTAATGAAGCACACAGAGTCAATAACGCCTCCACTGAGGATCGATCTCATGACTTCCCACATGAAAGAAGTCATTACATGTCATCTGAGCATAAGATACTTGGCAAGATCCATGATTTAGTTTCACACAAATACAAGTCTTAATTATTAATTTTCTTTTTCGATCTTTACGTCTAATTAGTATACTAAACGATTAGCTAATAATAATTAAAGTTGGGGGAAAAAGAAATAATAATTAAAGTTAAAAGGTATTGTCGCCATCATTGATGAAGAAAATCTTGCCTTGTTAGGTGCCATTAGTCATAGCAGTCACATGCAAATGCAATATATATATAGTCAGAAGTCATCAGAACATTTCAAGCAAGTAGCAACTCAACCCCTCCCGCCTCTCCCTCTCTCTCGACACCTGCTTTACCACGCCTATATATATATACACGTACACAAAATTCCGGCCTACCTCGAGTTAGTCGATATGATATCATATATTATATCTATGCTTAATTGTGCTGGTAGCTAACTAGCTAATTAGCTAGGTAGTGTATATACGTAATATGGTGCGTCCGCATATATTGAAAATGAGAGAGACTAGTGAGGGCGCCAGGCACTTTACAGACACCATCTGGAGACCATTACCGGCGATTAAGACTCTGCCGCGCTCTTCACTTGCCGTCTTCTTTTTTATGGTTCTCTGCGTCGGCGCGTTCGTTTCCACGCGTTTGCTCGACTCCACTGTCACCGCAGTAAGTATACTCTCTCTCTCTCCCTCGAGTAAATACCAAAAATAGTCTGTGGTTTTTCTCAATTTCGTCATAAACGATACAATGACCTAATGTAGTCTCAGACATTAGTGTTTTTGCTCAAATTTTCCGTTTTCAATTTATTAAGTTAGTGTTAAATAGAGGGTCAATTTTGTCATTTCAATATTGTCTTCTTTAATTTTCACTCCACCTGCGAAATCCAAAATACTGAACTAAGAACTGTGATTTCTTCTACACTCCACATTTGTGCCATTGCTGCATGGGATGTTTCTCGATCCTCTATAGCTCTATGAAACTTTCATCCCGAATTTTCGATAGAGAGATAAAGGATGTCAAGGGGCCTATTTCAGCACCCATCATCCATAATTTAAATAAAAAAAAAAGTGTGTGATTTCTGGAGAGTTGAATCATTATAGATGAAAAAAAAACATTTTTTTTTTTTCTGGAGTGCTACTTGGAATAAGACATAATTTGTTCTTGGAAATCTGAAATTAAAGTTCCTTTAAGAAAAAACTCTATTCATTTTCGATCCAGTTGAAATTTCATTTCTCTGTGTACTTTGTAGCTTATAGAATCATACTTGAAAGAGAGGGATTTCGCAGGTGGAGTAAAAAGACGACCAAAAATTACAGAATTGACCCTCTATTTAACACTGGAACAAAGTGCTGAACAACAACCGCGCCAACTATGTTGGTTATATATATGCTCTACTTTAATAGACTTTTTACTTTCTGTTTTTTCCTTTTTCAGTTTTTGTTTTCAAAATTTGGGAAACACATACACGTTTAAAAATACTGTTTTAAAACAATGGTCTATATTTAAAATAAGAATATTTTTCTCACCCACCTTACCAATATAATCTACCAAGCTAGCTTAGCTTGTTTTGTTTAATTTATTAATTTGTATTGTTTTTAGTGTTGGTATTCAACTCAAATTGCAATGGTTCAATTCGGTCCTAAGTTTGGACTTAAACGCACCATTTGCCCCACATTACATGCATTATTGCATATGTATGATGTGGACGGCTGGACGCTACCACTAATCCTTGCTAATCAATTGAAAATATACAATAATATAATTGTCCTTTCACATTTATTTACATATATAATATAATATAACTTTCACATCCTCGATCAACTTCCTTGGACAATGATGTTTTATTATGACGTGCACAATTTAGTAGAATTCTATTATATAGAATCTCAATCTCTATTTCTTATTTTTATTTTGAGTTAATTTCATTTTCGATCCTAAATTTATAGGTGACAATTCACTTTTAGTTTTTTTTTTTATTAGAACATTCTCATTTAGTCATAATATTATTGTGGCATGACCATTTAAACTAGAAGATACCACCGCCACCAAACAAATTAAATGAACTTATGATTATTATTATTATTATTATTATTATTATTATTATTTCCGAAACAATTGAAACTTACAAGATTACTACTCCAAACATGCAGCAGCATAATCCAACAAGATTATCTCATAAAAAAATAATTGAAAATGAAATCCCTCCACTGAATTGTTCAGTTGGAACTCCCATGGCAAGCTGCCCTGCTAATTACTACCCATCATCAAAGTCAAAGCTGAGGAGGATTGAAGATTCACCAACACAATCATCATCAACATGTCCAGATTACTTCCGTTGGATCTATGATGACTTGTGGGCGTGGAGGGAGAGTGGTATTAGCAGAGAGATGGTGATGAGTGCGAGGAGGACAGCCAACTTTCGGCTGCTCATAGTGAATGGGATTGCGTATATTCACAATTACAGAAAGTCATTTCAAAGTAGAGACACTTTTACTCTGTGGGGTATTTTACAATTGTTGCGGAGGTATCCTGGTAAAGTGCCGGATTTGGATCTAATGTTCGATACTGTTGACTGGCCAGTCATCAAAAAACAAAGTTATGTTCTAAATGACACCACTACAGCCCCCCCAGCTTTGTTCCGCTACTGCGGGGATGAAGCTACTTGGGATATTGTCTTTCCTGATTGGTCATTCTGGGGATGGTATGTATCATGTATGTATAGCTTGCTTGCTTGCTTGCTTGCTAGTATCTACCTATGTATATATAGTACCTAATGTTTGAATTGGATCTATCAGGCCTGAAATCAATATTAAGCCATGGGAGGGATTATCAAAGGACCTCAAAGAAGGGAATGTGAAGATTAAATGGGTGGACAGGGAGCCATATGCATACTGGAAGGGAAATCCTGAAGTTGCTGCAACCAGAAAGGATCTGCTCAAATGTAATGTATCAGAAAAGCAGGATTGGGGTGCTCGTGTCTATGCACAGGTACCTACCTACCTAATTTCCATTCTCATGCCCACACGTGTGTGTGTATATATATATATATATATATATATATATATATATATATATATATATATATAGCTAGCACAACAATCCCCTCATCACTAATTCTTGGCCTCCACACAACAATCTTGTAACCACTAATTGTTCAACTTAGCCATTTACCGCCTCCCCCAATATTTTCACTTTTTCTTTCAGGATTGGATTCAGGAACATAAGCAAGGTTACCAGCAGTCTAACTTAGCCGACCAGTGCATTCACCGGTAAAACAATTTTATATGTGTGTGTGTGTGTGCAATGCATGCCCCCACATGTCTATCTAGCTAGCTATTTATCTGATTGTGCAAATTAAATTAAATTAAATATAATATAATATAATAATGCACAGATACAAGATATATATTGAAGGATCTGCATGGTCTGTGAGTGAGAAATACATCTTAGCATGTGATTCTCCAACTTTACTAGTGAAGCCCAAATACTACGATTTCTACACCAGAGGTTTGATGCCAATGAAGCACTATTGGCCTATAAGGGATGATGACAAATGCAAATCTATTAAGCATGCTGTTGACTGGGGCAATAATCATCATCAACAGGTAGCTAGCTCATCCTAAATAATATATTATTATTATTATCATTATGTTGTTTAACTTGATCAAAACTAGCTACACTGCTCTTCATTCTCTATCTCTTTTCTATGCCGCCTTATGTTTCTTCACTGCTCATACTTCACTATCATTCATATATTATATATATATGCAGCTGTAAATATTAAATGATGGATAATAATGTGTATTAATAACATAACATACAGGCACAAGAGATTGGCATGGCAGGAAGCAAATATATTCAGGAGGAATTGAAAATGGAATATGTGTACGACTACATGTTCCATCTTTTGAGCGAGTATGCCAAGCTCTTGAAATACAAACCAACCGTACCTCCAGAGGCAGTTGAGCTTTGTTCGGAGAAGATGGTTTGTGGCGCAAACGGACTGGAGAAGCAATTTATGATGGAATCTCTGGTCAAAGCTGCTCCATCCACCACTGCGCCCTGCACAATGCCGCCTCCCTTTGATCCTGCAACTCTTAATGCTATCGTGAGTACCAGAGAAAGTTCAATCAAGCAAGTGGAGTCCTGGGAAAAACAATACTGGCACCATCAAAACAACCTTGATATCTAATCGCACATACCATACCATACATACAACAGTCATGCTTACACCTACCTCTACCTGTAGATTATTTATATTTGCATATTTGTACACACATCCTGCTTAATTATTATCTGTATTTATATTTTCTTAATTCACTGCTAATTTAACACTGTTACTGTTCAGATCCAAGGCAAAAAAGTTTAAACAAAAAAAAAATGTATGAGACCGTCTCATGAGTCTCAATCTGTGAGACAGGTCCCATTTAATAAAAATGGATCATAATATAAGAGCCTAGGGACGAAAAGTGAGCACAATCAACAAGTAGCGGAAATAATAATCTTCCAGTTCTAAATATCACTGCAATCTTTCCATTCCAAAACCTCACTGCAAATTCTAAATTCGCTTATTATGAGAGCTCTGCAAGAATATTCTTATTAGCAAGACTGCAAGAGTACAAAGGAAATTGCCGGGGAGGAATTACAGCTCCTCACCAACCAAAGTACAAAAGAGATGTTTGCAAGGATGCATGGCGACTTATGTTCTGAATTTCTGAGAAATTTTCTCAAGTCCTTCCCTGCTATCAACAGCAAATCGCTTAACTCTCTCTCCGACAGCTGACCCAAGTTCAGCAGAGCTGTGCTTCACAGACTCAAAAGAGTTACTGATCTTTGATGTGGCAGTATCTTTTAACACTATTGCCCGCCTTCGTCCTCTCTGTGCCCACTCCCTTAGTACGGAAATATACAAAAGTATCTTCTCCATTATTTTGTGAATTGTATCTTTTGATTTTCCTCTTACAGCATCAGCCATTCCCCTCAATCTGTCCACCAAATTCTCTGCCCTAGATATGCTTCCTTCAACTGACAACTGCTTTCCAGCACTTAGCCATGTGACACCAGTATTTGCTTCTTCCTGTAGGTCATTATCAACAACAACCTTGATACCATGCTTCTCCCAGCGTTCTCTTGCCTCCTCCAGGGCCTTTGCTTGCTCTCTAGCTCTTTTAGCCTCATCTTCAGCCCAAGCCCTGCATAAAAGAATTAAAGAATATATGAATTGGAGGAGAAACAAGTGAAACCATAATTTGATGAAAATGATTACTGCCTTGCCTAGCCATGGACAGTGCTTTTCTCTCAACCTCTAGTTCATATTGTAACCTTGCTATCTCTTGATTTTCAAGTTCAGCATCTTTCCGAAGCTTGTTGAGCCTTTCTTTGTCATAAGAAATCTCCAACTTCTCACTCATAAGTGTCTGTAGCTGCTCCTCTACCTCACGCCTTAACCTCGAAAGAACTTCCATTTCTGAATCAACAGCAGCACGCTCCTTCAGTAAGGCAAGGTTCTCTTCCTCCCATTCAGCTGTTAACCTCTCAAATTCTCGCCTTGCCTCCTCAACCAATTTCTCCACTGCATCAATCTTTTCTCTTTCGAATGAGAGTTCCTTCTCATAACTTGCATTGACATCTTTCTCCACTTCAGCTATTAGAGCATTATGTGCAGTGACAGCTTTTTCAGCCATAGATTCAGCCTCGATACGTGCAAGCTCTTCACCAACAATGTCAGAAGCCTCACCAGTTGCAAGGGCAATAGCAGCTTGAGCTTTTGTCACAGGTTTATCTGGCTGGAACAGTCTTGTATACCCTGAAAGGAAATTAATAATAAGAATAAGACATCCTCATGCACATATATAAGAAACAAATGTAATGATTAAAGCAGGACATGACTCACCAAATGCAAGGGCTATTATTCCCTGTTCCGCTGATGCCAAGTCTGCTACCAAAGCAGGCCATGCATCTCGATGGATCTTGTTAATATCTATGAACCCTGAGAGTTGCCTCAAGGTCTACCCGAGGGAGAAAAAAAAAATGTTTGCACTTGAACTTAATTAGTCATTTCTATAGATGTCCAGGCACAATGAAAGGAATAAACTTGTAAACGTGTGCAAATGCAACCTTTTGGTCAACCAGAGGAAGCTGTCTTTTGTCTAGGGCAATCTTCCAACTGACAAGATCCTGGCGTGACAAAGGACTGCAGCAAAGTTTTGTGTGCATTAGATAAGAATCCAATGAAAATGTCATTTGGTCCCAAACCCAGGGCACTAAAAAACATGATTAAGACAATAACAATATTCAGAACCTTGATTAGTTATTAAAGGAATATGAATCTGGAAATCATACAAGAACAATAGCAATGCTTGAGGTCATGGAGGTTATAATCTATTTGCAAGTTGACCAAAATCCCAATGGGACAGGTAAGAGCTCTCAAACCAGTCGTGAATGTGATTTCCGCATAAATAGACAATTACTACTTGTCATCAGCATCATAACAAAACATCTCATGTGGAACTTACCTGTCAGGGGAGAAGAATAGGGGACTTTGGTCTCCATCTGAAGATGACTGTGTGTCCCGTCTTGACAGCTTGCTGGAGATGAGACCAGCTTCAGCCAAGCCTGAAATGTCCAGATCTTCAGAAACTAGAGGAATATAATTGGTTGAATACAGCAAAAACTTCTACTTAGAAGATCACAGGTCTTAGGCTTGACCTTGTATGCAAGGGAAGTCAGGATCTTCAGTTGTAATATCGTCAAAGGCAAGTTCAGTGACATTCTCAATATACATTGCAGGATAGACCTTAGAGACAGTGGTCCTACAAGAAATCAGGATAACTTGTAAGCAATTCAGCCAGATATTTCAGGCACATCTTCACCAGCTTCAAATACAGTATCAATACTACCAACATGATGATCTGTTTTAAGATGTGTATACCTTGATAGAGCACTGCTTGATGCAACTAACCAGCGAGCATATTCACGGCGAGTACAAAGGTCTCCAGGTTGAACATCAGCCTCAATAACCTAAAATGTAAAGATATCAAATTAACAGGTTCAATTACACATATTTGCACAATGATCTTGACCACTCCTGGAATATATGTACCTTAGTTACGCTTCTTTAACTAGGCTAGTGACAAGCTTGATACCTATAAATAATTAATGGTGGAATAGGCAGGGTCGCAGGGATAACAAATTTTTTTTAACTTTGTGTGCATCCATTTCAATCCAGATATTCTCAGCAGAATGAGATTAGATTGAGCTCAAAACTAACCAACATTTTTGCAAAGTTTAAATAAATGAAAACAAAAGTACCTTCAAAACTTGCAACGCAGCTAGTGCCTGACCCTGGACTTGATCAATGACAGCAGGAACTAGCACCTTTCCTGGAAGTGCCTGCAGAGCTGCAGGGACAGAAGATGGAGCAGGTATGCCGGCAGAGATAAAGATAGCTTCAGAATTTACTGACTCATAGCTTGATCTGCTTCCATTGATATCCTTATGAACATTTTCATTTTGTTTCTTAACAGAAAGATCCACACCAGTGCCCTCCAACACTGTTCCTGATAATTCATCTCTGTTTGCACTATGGACTTCTAGAAATAACTCGTCTCCTTCAGCTGGAAACTCTAGCATATTGCTCGTATCAACATTCTCAACAGAAACTGAGCTTTTAGCCTCTAAATACTGATCACTTGTATTAATAGGTTCTAAAGCAGTGTCAGACTGTGCATTTACTGAGGGATTAAAGGTTACAGATTCAGCAGTTGGTGAATCAAATGAAGAGACAGAGTCTCTTGTTTCTCCTAAATCAGAGACTCCTTCCCTGTGATCCATGCTTTGATTTGTTGAACTGGGGCTAGGAGCTGGTACACGACTTGTATTGGTGTCATCAAAGTTCTCCCCATATTGTTCATTTATTAATAATGATTTTTCAGCAGCAAAACTGACTTCTTTACTATCAAAGGTTGAGTGAGTGAAAGATTCTGCCGAAACTCCAGCATCAGGTGATTGAAATATGGCTTCAGTTGCAAATAAAGTGTTATCATTCACTGTTTCATTATGAAAACCATGTTTAGTGGAGGCATTGCCAATTGTGTAATTATTACTGAAAATGTGTTCCTCGCACTGCTACTGTTATTAAGTTTATTTCCAACATCTTCGCACTTTGTTGGATGTAAAAAGGGTTCATTGTCTATACCTGCCTCGCTGTTTTGATTGTCACTATCTTGCATTTCATTCTTGAGGGCATCTTTTTCTAATTCAACTCTATCATTGTGATTATTATCACCCATGACTGACATTTCTTGTTGGGTTGTCAAAGGGTCCATATGCTGCTTCAATCCTGTGTAATAAGCTCGCAATTCTAACATCTACTAGAGAGAGTATTGCACTGACAGACAGCAAATGTAATTGAGTATTTATAGGAAAAGTAGGGACATGCTATTGAAAGCTGTAAAGTTAATGGAAAATGGTAACCTAACTAGTTTAAAGGCATAGTAACAATGGAGACCAATATAAAATACAAGAGAGTACAAGTTTATGACAAAGAGGAAACTTAAATGTGAAAAGTAATGTTCTTAATGCTCATATTCATTAAAGTATAAGCATTGCTTACTGGACATGCTGCGTTTGCTTATTGATAAAGCAGCAAAGATAATCCCAGCCACTAGGATAATGCTGGCTACTCCTGCTCCCACAAGCCCTGAAAGTATTCCAGAACTGTTACTAATTCATGATAGAACCAATGAAGCATCTTTTCACTTTTTCCATTTTGCTAATGTAATGTCAAAATTTCAATCAATCTAAAGATATAAGTAACTTAATAAACACTTGCCGTCCTCATTTCACATGAAACTCTGATGAAGAGATGAATTCACCAACAAATTTATTTACCAATTTTACTAGTCATGTCGAAGTGATGCAATTATCTAAATCAATTAAAACGTGATTATGTAAAATTTAATACACATCAAAATAGGAATGTGTATTCATATATGAACATACATACACACGCACGCAGAGGCAGGAAGTCAAATGACACGGCTTACCTGCGACGGATTGCTTCTGCGGAGCCTCACTCGATGTTTCAGCTCCATCAGTTCCAGACCATCCAGCGAATCCATCCACTGGAGAAATGGAATTAACCAAAACACTGCGTCTTTCCAGCCAATTACGGTTTCTCGCGTGAGTATGCCCTCCAATAGAAAGTAAATGCTGCAGTCTATTGCAATCCTTCTTCCCAACACGCACCCGTAACAACACGGTTGACGGTTTTCTACAATTGAAAGCTAATCGGAGGTGGAACGAGGTCGGGGACAATGTTGCAGTCAAAGAACTCATCTCTGAATGGTCAAATTTGCAGTTGGGATAAATGCAAGATAGTTGCTAAAGTGGAGCTTTTCAGTACAGAAGAGCATCAAAATGCGTCTCTCCCACTCGTGCACACATGTATAAGATATAGAGAATGTTTGAAGTAAAATTCTAGGGTTTTTCTTGTCTGTATCGTGTTATGGTGAACGACCTATGCATCTCTCTCTCTCTCTCTTACTATGATTAAACCTACGTGCAAAACTGCAAATACGGGTCCTGTTTGTCTGTATTGATCTTTATCTAATCCCTGCTGTTTGCTACGAGAGGAACTTCCCGATCATCAGATCAGAATTTCTAACTGGATCATTTCCTGTTGCCAAATCAAAGTACCAGGTTGTATTAGATTTGAGCATTTGGGTTCGGATTATCCAAATCTAGCCCAATAATTTATTAGAGGAAATAAAATAAAATAAAATAAAATAATGGATAAAATCATGAATTCCTATTATATTAAGCAATCAAAGCATTACACATTATATAGAGTAAATAATGAGAATAGAAAATAAGAATATATGTAAAATTATTTTATATTTTATAAACTCTGGAAGCACGTGGAGTGAACCCATAGATCCACCGAGAAGAATTAGGAGTAGCCTTGAAGAGGATAGGCTGAGTCGTACTTGGCTGAGAAGAATCACCGAGAGAAACGATCATTAAGGTTCCTAGGGCTTGCTCCCCTCCATCTAGATCAAAAAAAAAAAAAAAAAAAAAAAAAAGATTATTTAGATTCCATAAAATTAAAAATCAAATCGAGCCAACAAATTGAATGGTTTATATAGCTTGAAGGAGCCAAGTTATTTCTAGAAGTCCATAGTGCAAACAGAGATGAATTATCAGGAATAGTGTTGTTGGAGGGCACTGGTGTGGATCTTTCTGTTAAGAAACAAAATGAAAATGTTCATAAGGATATCAATGGAAGCAGATCAAGCTATGAGTCAGTAAATTCTGAAGTTATCTTTATCTCTGCGGCATACCTGCTCCATCTTCTGTCCCTGCAGCTCTGCAGGCACTTCCAGGAAAAGTGCTAGTTCATGCTGTCATTGATCAAATCCAGGGTAAGGCACTAGCTGTGTAAATTTAGTCCCCTAGCCGTTATTTCGTCAAACAATCGTAAGTTACCAAATTAGTGGCTAGGGGATTTAATTGACGAAATTTAAAACAATTAGAAGGTCAATTTGACCAAATGTAAAATTATGAACTAAATTGACAATTACAAAACAATTGAGGAACCAAAATAGTGATTTTCTCCAGAATAATAAGCCCAAAGTCTTGGCCTCTCGGGTTCCTTGCATTTGGGCCACATCACTTAAGCCATACATCGCTGTTAGGAAACATTCCTACGAAAAATATTATTTCTGGAAAAAAAACAAACAAGCACGAAACGAAAGGGTAAAAGGATTAGGTTGTTAGTAGTCGTGTGATTCCCACACTATCCTTAAAACCTTATTTGCAAACTCTAAAGGTGTTTGGAGCGTTGTAGCCTAGGTTTCCCAAGATAAAATGTACTATAGTTTAATGTTTGAGCACTCCAATGGTTAAACCCGACGAACAACAACACGAGATGAACACAAGAGGTCTTAGAAGAACGAAGAGCAGAGTTTTGTGAGCTAAAAATGTAGGATATTTTTTCTAAAACATGTTCAACCATGCTTATATAGGAGATGATGAATTAATAGCAATTAACATGACATTAATCTATGTTTTAAAAACTAGACTGTAACCTTCATAACAGACAATCATTAATCTGTAGATTAGTTTTAAAACTTTAAAATTGGAATTAATATTAAATTAATTCCGTAACTGATAAGAATTAACACCAGCATGGTACTTCGAAGAGTGGTTCGAATGGTCGCTACACCAAATGGTACTTACAAGTCATACCCGAGAGGAGTCAAAGACTACCGTTCGGTCAAACCCATTTGACCGGGGATTTGACCGAATGGTTACTACAACCATTCTGTCAAACCCATTTGATCGAATGGTAAGTACTCCAACCGAGTAGTACAAGCCCATTCTGTCAAACCCATTTGATCGAATGGTAAGTACTCCAACCGAGTAGTACAAGCCAACGATTCGGTTACTACTCGGACAGTGGCTAAAAATATTGGAATTTTTTTTACAAAAAGTAAAGTTGGCATAACTCGCAAGGTGAAGCAACTTTGTTATCCAACATTATTTTGGGATTTGATTTACATCCCCTGTGCGCAAGAGAAAACCTTTATACTATATAATTCAATTTGGTTTAAAAAGACTCTTGTATATATAGTGGTGCAAACCCACTTTCCAAACCAATGTGGGACAAAGGCTACTTTAAAGCCTTTCCACCTTCATTTTCCAACTCAAATGGCTCTACTTTGAGAATCAATTTCTCATTCACCCATTATCCGTTTTAAGTGTATAATATATCAATCTCTTCGTCTCACTACGAAGAACGTGAATCCACTTTGACCCGACCCAAATTGAAAGTGGACCTAACTAATATTTGTATCACAAAATAGCCACTTTTCATGCTGTTTTATGCTATTTTTTTTTCCCAACAATCCCCACATGAATGAAAAATTGATTTTCGGGGTTGTTTTAAAAACGAAACGACTGTGTTCAGTGGTCGATCCCTGCATAGGATAAGTAGGTGTTACCCTTTGAACCTTCCATTCAGAAGATATATTTACTCTGATCTACTAGCTGTATGGTAGAATGTGATGTCTTTGAACTTATTGTCATTTGTGTAGACGATGATATATCTCACACAGGAACCTCCTAACCATGTTCTATTCTCATGAGTGTGCCCGTTTTAGTCGTGGGTCACCATTCTTAGTTCTATAAGAATTTCTAAAGAATTGAGCCCGTTCAATTCTTCTTTGAAGCAACCCTCACTTCTCTCTCACATATGTGATTCTTTTCCGGGTATCTCGCATACTCACACATGTCAACCGACATTTTGAATCATTAAAGCATCAATGTGCTAGCCTCATGCTGGAGTCACTGTTCTAACGAGTAGAAGGGAGGTCGAGACCCTCACAATGACACGCTTTATTCCATAATTTAGTTGTCTCATTTAATCTAGGGCAGCTAGGTTGGGTATCCACTATAGAACTTTATTCCAAGGTATTTAGACACATTCCCCGTGTCAACTCCTCGATAACCTCTCTACTTAACCCTTTGGTTAACGGGTCCGATACGTTGTCTTTTGACTTCACATAGTCAACCGAGGCAACACTAATTGTGAGAAGTTGTTTATTGAATTATGTCTACGACGTATACGTCTAGACTTACCATTATACATATGACTCCGTACTTTACCAATCGTGGCTTGACTATCACAATGCACACTAATTGTAGGTACAAGTCTTTCCCAACTAGGAATATCCTCTAGAAAATGACGTAGCCATTAAGCCTCTTCACAACATTTGTCTAAGGCTATCAACTCATATTTCATCATGGAATCTGGCTATCACAGTTTGTTTAGAGGGTTTCCATGCAACGGCTACACCGGCTAGTGTAAACATGTAGCCACTCGTGGACTTTTAGAGTCCTTAATGTCCGATATCCAGTTAACATTGCTATACCCTTCAAGTACGCCAGGATATCTTGTATAGTGCGGTCCAAGGTCACGAGTACCCTTAGGTATCTCATAACCCTCACAATCGCCTTCCAGTGCATATCGCCGTGGTTACTCATATATCTACTGAGTGTACTAACCGCAAAGGCAATGTTTGGCATTGTATAACTCATTAGATACATTAAACTACCAATAATCCGAGCATATTCTACATGAGAAATATATTCTCCGTGATTTTTGGTAAGTAAAACGTTTGTATCAAATGGTATCTTAGCCACTTGATTATCATCCTTGTTGAATTTCCCAAGAATTTTATCAACATAATGAGTTTGGCTCAACACAAGACCATCATGTCTTCTAATAATTTTAATCTCGAGGATTAAATCAGCTAAACCAATATCCTTCATGTCAAATCTCACATTTAACATGTTTTGGTAGACTTGATCATCCAATCGTTACTACCAAAAATGAGTATTTCATCTACATATAAACAAAGAATAACATACCCGTCTATCGTTTCCTTAATGTAGACACACTTGTCACTCTCGTTTATTTAAAACCCATTGGTTAACATCGCATGGTCAAACTTCTCATGTCATTGCTTATGAGCTTCTTTTAAACCATATAACGATTTAACCAATCTACACACTTTCTTTTCTTGGCCCGAGACAACAAACCCTTCGAGTTGTTTCGTATAGATTTTTTCATCTAAATCACCATTTAAGAAAGTGGTTTCACATCCATTTGATGAACTTCCAAATTCCGCAATGCGGCTATGTCAAGTATCATCATAATGGAGTTTATTCTCGTCACAAGAGAATACATGTCGAAGTAATCAAGGCACGCGCGTCGCATGTAACCTTTAATTACAAGCCTAGCCTATATTTCTCAATCGAACCGTCCGATTTCATCTTCCTTTTAAAGACCCAGTTGGATCCTATGGGTTTACTACCCAAAGAAAGATTAACAAGTTCCCAAGTGTGATTCTATAGAATAGAATCCACTTCATTCCTAATAGCCTCTTTCCACATAGGTCATTCCGTAGAAGTCAAGGCTTCTACATACGTTCGAGGCTCATTTTCTAACAAACAAGTTAGAAAATCCAATTCATTTTCTAATAAACAAGTTAGATTACTAGAATCATACTCCAACAAATAAGTTAGAAAATCAGGACCAAATGATTTTTCAACTTTCTCCCGTTTACTGCTCTAGGCTCGAGCTCGGGTTCTTTCTCAGAATTCCCACTATCATTATCTATAACTTCTTCAAATGTCTGTTTTGACGTACTCTGTCCTTTGTTGGACCTACAAGAAAATACATTTTCAAAGAAAGATGCATTCCTTGATTCTATTATCGTGTTCTTATGTATGTCCGGTTTATGGGACTCGTGTACTAAGAACCATGGTCTATGGTATAATGATTTATCTGTTTCCCACCCCTAGACCCCCACTACCTTCCTCTTCTATAGGTCTCGCATCAGGCCGTACAACACCACTACTCATATCAGATAGTACTGATGTATCTGGCACGTATCTCTGCTCTTCCCCCCCCCCCCTTGTCATTCTCATACTCATTGTCTCCTTCTGTCCTAGTGATTTTGCGACCAGCTACCGTTGCCCCTGGGTCGTTGATGCACACCGGCCGGCGACTGACAACAGTTTTTTTCATTTTTCTCGGATTGGTCAAACAAATGGGATGAATCCCGGATTTTTATCGTTCTCTCGGGATGAAAAATTGGAGTAGCCTCGTGTTGTCAACATAGAGAAAGAGG